GGAGAAATTCAATTTAATTTGTAACTACCTATTGAGTTATGAATTTTGGTTGAACCTATTTTTACCAGCGCTAATTTAGTTCAAGAAAGTCTAAGAAACCTCTTCTAAAAGCTCATTACTATAAAGAAAAAGATTTGTTTGAGTGATTAACGTCATTTTGATTTTATTATGTTTTCAAAAATAGCTCTCTTTTAACTAATTTTCCCATCAACATGGTTCACTTTAGAAGGTCCACAAGAGGAATGTATACTTACATTTTCAAAGTTTTTGTGCAGTTTAATACTGCTTAAAGATGTAAGCTTCATGACTAGCAGACTATTATTGCATTAATTTTAGTGAAAAGATTGAATATTTGGCAAAATGTCTAATGTATATTTGTATCATGGTTGGACATAGTTATTTCTTGCATTGGCTGTCATGTGTGCTTCGGTTTGTTTACAATTTCCTTCGCACGCAGCAACATAATTTTCTGTTTACTTTCCTAGTCACAATTTTCTTAAACAGAGCATAGAGGAAGTAGCTGAATTCGCATGTGATTTTAAGCATTGCATAATGGAATAAGATCCAAGACTTTCCTTGGGCGTGTCTGGAAATTGACTGGCTATTCCTAATAACTGCCATTGGACTGGTTCTTGAATTTTATTGTGATTCAATGGTTTTAGATCATATACAGAAACTGGCCACTTTTCCAAGGGGATCGAAACATGGCCAGGTGTGGCCAATGTGGAACAGGGCCCCTCAAATGACTACAATTGAAGTTTGAGGTGTCACATGATAAGTTTTATTCGTTTGAGGTCTCAATTTGCCTCATGCCTTCCATAATTGAATCCCCATAATTTTCAATTAATGTTGTACTAAGCACCAACTTATTGGTAACCAAACGTTTGAAAACGAGAAAATACACAGTATTCTATTTTGCATCATTCTACGAACACGCTGTAAACTACATAATGATGATGCATGATAATTTTATGTTAGGGTTGTCTTCTAAATTGGAGAACAAAGAGGTGATTAGACCCCATATGATCGTTATACCCCTTTCTCCCCTACTTCGCTGACATATGAACCAAAATTTTGTTAAATATTGAAAGTACCGTCTTCTGATAAGGCAATCAACTGCCTTTTGCGTTATCATAAAATGCAACCTTCACTCTCTTCTCTGCTTTAGAGACCTAATTAAAAACTAATGATGGAGCTACTGAAAAAAATTAATGCATTTTTTGACAAATGTTTTATTCCACAACATGCATGGCGGCTTTGTGGACTATATAAACTGCATCAAAATATATAACGGCTTGTTCAGGGTTCCACATTCCGTGTCATAGTTTATTACATTTCAGGAAAAATACTTGAACCAACAGTAAACCATAACCGAAACAATGAAATACTTGAAAACATTAAGACAAAGTAAAGTAGTCAAAAATGCATGACATACATACATTGTGCATATTTCTACGTCATGCTGCGGTCGTGTCCAGGACACAACCCTTAATTTTTTTACGGTTTTGATCTAATTTTCGTCCTACTAAGCACAACCCGTGCTCTACCTCTCTTTTCTGAATGAGTTTAAACAAAATATTAAATATTTCTGTCAACGATGACTTTTAAATTTATTCACCTTTCCATACGCACCGTTAGATTTGATAAAGAGTAACAAATTGTTGAGATATTGTTTAAAATCTAATACTGCTTCTTGATTCTAAATTCGTTCTACGAGTTTCAATTCCGTCCTAACGCATTGAAACGCCATTAGATTTTCTTCGTCGTACGGATAAACGTAGAAAAAGCGCATTCGTTAGGAGCGTTTCTTTTTTTTTTTTTTGAGAACAATGAGCGTAAATATTCATACAATGCGCTCTACCAGGATTTATGTTGTAGCTAATGAACTAACGCATCGGAACAAACCTATTATTGATTTGTGTACAGTGAAATCATTGATGTTATTGATCTTTTCTGATCGATAGAACGGAAATGGGCGATTACGACGAAGTAGTGCTCTACCCTACCGTGTAAAAAAAACCGTGTAAAAAAACCTACGTGATTTTGATTTTTCACATGCTTAAATGTTTTTAAAAAATCGGATTTTGACGCCATGTGGAATTATAAGCATGCTATGATCCATATAGACATATTTAAAAAAAATTATGTACTTACACTAAAAATTTTGATTTTTTTTAAAGTATACCATTCGATTACCTATAGCTTGAAACGGGTAATGTGTTTGGAATCAAGTCGATAGGTTGTATCGTTGTCGAGAAATCGATAAAAACGTACCGTGTAAATCGCGAAAAACCGTGTAAAAAAAAGACTTCAGTGTACTTCGAGGATGATTAGATAACATCAGAACAATCTCATTAACTTACGAAAATTTGCAGTGACTTACAAAGAGTTCCTTGGAATTATGGGATATTCCGAGAACTTTAGAAGCTTCAGGGAATTATAAATATATATCAGAAAATTTAACCGGAACATTTGATCAATTGAGAAAAATTAAAATAACCATTCTTATTGCAGGGAAAATTAGTGATTTAAGGAAAAGTTCCGTGAGCGTTTATAAACTTTATAAACTTAAGGAAAATTGTAGAATTTAACGGCAATTTAATCAATTCCAGTAAAATGGTGGATTCTTTTAAAAAATACTAAAGCATGGCACTCAAGAGAGTTTTAAGGAAATTGAGAAATATGTTGGGCAGTTTTAAATACAAACATCAGGAAACTCTAGACTATTGAAGAAGCTATGAATTAGTTTCGATGATTTAAACTTCAGACAGATCTTGAGACCTTCAGTGAAAATCATAGAACTATATTTATTATTTCGCTGCGGAGTGCTTATGAGAATCTAATTGAATAAGTCTAAAACATCAAACATTTATTTGGTATGCCATCAGAACGACTAATTTTCTTCCCTTAGGTCCCTTTTTAGTCACTTTTTTACAACATTAAGGTCACTTATTTCTTCAACATGGTCACTAAAATCACTATTTTTGACAGCATTGATTGCTACCAGCCCTGCATTTGAATAGCTTGCCAGGTTGAAAAAGTCCAACCTTCTTAATCCTTTTTCGCGATTGATTTCAAAATTTACCGAGCTTTGAGAAAAGTTCAAAACCGTAGAAAATGGCTTGCTCTTCGGCGAAATGACCCATTCGGTGAAACTTCCCACTCCCGTTTGAGGCATGTGCTGTATTGAAGATCAGTAATCATAAACAAATCTTTGCCCACGATCTTGACCACGCAAAAATTGAGGCAACATATTTACGAGCCGTTTTTTTCTAGACAAAAAACTATGAACAAATTAAAAACCGCTCAACCATTCTCGAATTCTAGAACCGCACTACCGATGAACGGTAGTATGAAACTGGCGACATCGCTCTGATGAGACAACGAAACCCTACCCCCAAGCTCCTCCCCTTATCCTATCCTTCGAAAATGTACCGCTCTAACCTCGGGTGAGCCGCGAGTATTCGGCCCAACTCCTACTAGACATGGAAATAAGTTAATTTTGTTACAAACAATGAACAATGAATTATCGGCTCCGTAAAGCTAACGCGATTGAGCCTTACGAATAAACGAACTAGATAACCAGAAAATCCATTTCCCTACACGGACGATGAGACCGACTCAAAATTGAGTTGAATTCGACTAAATTTTGCAGAAAGTAGATTTGCTCACAGAGTAAAATTCTCGTCGATTTTCCAGGAAAATAATCTCGTATACTGCTGGACTGAATTAAATTTTCGTCCATGTCCAATATCAAGATCCTCAAAATTCACCAAACACAACAAACACACACCCATCTTCAAGACAACAGCCTATCGATAACCCAAATAAACAAAAATCCACCCTGTGTTCCAATCATCCACCTCAACCCCTCCCGGTGGTCCAGATCAATACAACGCGCCAGAAGCACACACCAATAATCACTTTCACTATCCTCCCCCATATGTACCGTTGCCAATCAATCGCGGGCGCAATCCAAATTCCTTCTGTCCATTCATTCGCTGCTTATGATCCTTCGCAGCATCAGCAGAAGCAACAGAGGAACCAACGTCAAAAGGAAAAACAGTGCTCTCGTCCGAACGTAACAGTCGGGACCTGCGCGCCGAAATCCAAGAAGCTTTCCTTCGTCGTCGTCGTCGTCGTCAAACGACGACGACGACGACCAAAAGCCGAGAGATTATTATAATATAAAAGCTAAAATATATTCCGAGCACTCCGGCAGGCAGCCGATGCGAGTAGTAAAAGTTAATGTTATGTACCTACGGCAGAAATGCTGTCGAAGCGTGGCTGTGGGGGAGGAATGGAATTAGAGGGGTATGTGTGTGTGTGTATATAAGCAAGATTAAGAAAAGCGAAGCCAACTTGGACGGGACGACGGTGGTCGACTTCGGTTTTCCGAAGGAAAACTGCTTCGGCTTCTACGCTGCTACTTGCCCACCACCAGCAGCGCCGCCGCCGCCGTCGTCTAGTTCTAAGGATGAGACTGTGTTAGGGAAGGGATAGTTAGTTTTCCACATAGCGAGCAGCAGCAGATGGCAAGGGGGAGGGAGGGTATGGAGGGAGAATGCTCCCGCCGTGGTCGGATGGGCTGGTGAGTGAGAGCGAGAGCAGCGAGCCAGGGCGCATGAGCGCCCCTAAATTTTACCCGATGAGGCAGTGTGCGTGCCTCGGTGTGTGTGTGAGTGTATGCGTAGGGTGGGGTGGGAAGAGGACTTTCGACCCGGTAAGGAGGGTGGTGAGCGTCGTTTTCGTGAGCGGATGAGGTGGTTGGTATCTTCGGTCGTTCCGGTGGATGGACGGTCGGACGGACGGACGGGGATGGTGTCTGGTTTTCGTGAGCGTGTGTTTGTGTTTCTCACCATGTAGGAGTCTGATAAGCGAGTGGTGAGAACGGAAGAGAGCGCCTACTGTGTGTGTCTGTGCGCGGATTTGTAAGGAAGGAAAGTTGACGCTCCCCATATTCTCAAGTCGTCGTCAGTCGTTAGCCAAAAGTCGGACGAGATTGCTGCAAAATTAAAAACATCTTCGGTCACACGCGCGCATATAGCATACAAAAAAAAAGAAAAGAAGAAAGAATAATAACAAAAATACTTCCGACTTGATAGACTTTTACACAGATGTGTATATATTTTAGTGTGTATAGCTTATAGTTAGATACAAAGTGACCGAAAGGCAAGAGCAAGGAGCAAGAGCAAAATCGGACTATCGTCTCAAGTTATACCCCCCTCTTATATATTATTATATATTCTTTAACTTGGAAAATCAAGCTCCGGAAAAACCACCCCTTCGAGAAATGTTCTCTACATAAAATTTAGTGTAATTTTCTTCTCTTAATAAATATTTACCCACACACCCGGCGCGCGTTATCCTGCCAGAAGCAGCAGCAGTGTGGAAGCCGAGGATACCAATCCGCACCCCAGACAGCCCCGGTCCGAGCGTTCTGGGGGCCCGCTTTAGTTTTGCTACAATCGTTTCCCTCGTGTTGTTTGGTCGTCTCGGTCTAAGGGAGAAGATACCAAGGAGCTGTCGTCGTCCTCCTTACATATTATCGTAGCTTCAGAGAAAGTCGTGCCGCACATCCAACTCGACTCTCTTACGGTTCGGACCTAAAAGTACACACGGCGTACATTTTCTTAGATTCGTTGTCGAAAAAAAAAAATCAAATCAAATCAAATCCAATCCACACAAGATCACCCGGATTCGAGTTTGTGAAGTTACGGGAAAAAATCAAACAGTTTCGCGAAGTAACAAAACAAAAAAAAAATATAACAAGATTGCACCAAAACAGAACAACAAATCGTGTTGATTCCACAAAATAAGCTCAAGCGATCCAAAACAAAAAAAAAACCATCATCAGCTCAATCTGCACTCAGCCTCAAGTCAAAGTCGTACTCGAGAGATGGATCCACCAAACCGTGAATGAATGATCGCTGAACCTGCAAACAAAAGATTCGTTACGAGGATTACACAGTTACAACATCAACAACAACAACAACAACAACATCAACAACAACAGTGGTACAAAACAAAAGTGTTGCGCGCAAAAGAAAATTAAATCGAAATGGCCTTCAACCGACAGCTTGTGTTGGCCTCGAGTCTGCTGAAAAATTCCAAGGATAATTGTACCACCTCCGGCCCGCGACCACAGTCCATCGGTGCCGTCGTGGCCGGATCGCGTCGTCCTCGTCGTGGATCAGTGTTCCCACCAAGCATAGTGGTGTTCTTGCTTTGAACAAGTTCTTTCGTTGGATTTTAAGTTTTAATCAAATCATAAGAACCAAATAAACAAACGACTATATCTAGTGTGTGTGAAATGTTCTCCCGAATGGCGTATAAATATATCATAACAGAAAAGTACATCTTGTTTCATTAACGAAGAACGGTAATAAAACAAACAAAACAGTTGCGAAGAAAATAACAAATGATGCTGATAAAACCAAGAACCAGAAGACAAAATGAAAAAGATACGCAAACTGGTCAAATTGTTGCAAAATGTCATCCGAAAGAAATGAGTGAAAAATTATGTGAAACTGCAAAATGGTCAGACAACTACAATGACGATTGATGCGTGTGGCCACGCAACTGCCATGCCCTCGTCGAATCGGTCGTTGAAAGCTAGAATTAAACTCGAATAAAACTAGTTAAATAACAAACTGAAAACAAATTTTACTCCCCCCTTAAACGAAAAAGAAAAGAAAAAACAAATGAAGAAAATACAAAGAAGAATGAAAAATAGCGAAATGCTCTCACCGCCTCAAGCTGTGTGGTAGAAGAAGCAATAGCAGCAGTACAGTTTCCCCCCCAAAGTTTAGTTTGTCGCAATTTTTTACTACTGCAAAAAATCCCCACGACCAACCGAAGAAGATCAGAAGAAACAGAACGGAGAAGATCAGTGAGAGTGAAAATTTTCGACGAAAACAAACAAAGCGAACGAACGAACGAACAAAGTCTGAGTGAAGTATCTTTAAGTTTGAGCTAAAAGAAAATAAAACAAAAAATCTGATCAACAAAAAACGGAGAAAACTTGAGTGGCACTTGTGCGAAAGTGCATCGACAGCGAGCGGAAGAAAGAAGAAGAAGCAGAACAAAAAAACACTAGGACAGAGTGAAACTGCGCGAAAACTGAACTGAAACAAACTGTTATGTGCGAACAGAAGAGTTTCACAATAGAGTAGAAAAGCCCCACGAACGCTAAAACTAAGGAAAGTACCCTCGTGGAAACGAGGACTTCGCCATTAGTCCCCCCCCCTCGAAGAAGAACAAGAAGAAGAAACAACCGGATTTGACAAACCAAACCAAAAAAAATAAGTGAAGACAGCAGTGAAAGTGTGTGTGTAACAAGAACCAAAAAACAAGGAATACTCGCCCCCCAAGAAGAAGAATCACAAACAGAAAGTGAAAGTGACCCAAGTCCCCGCAAAGAAAAAAAGAACAAATCATAGAAAGTGAAAGTGAGATAAATAAAAAAACTAAAGAAGACAACAAAAGCAAACAATCGTGTGTGTTGTGCTGCATCTCTATAGCGAAAAAAAAGAGAGAGTGCGAAAGCGAAAACGAAAAAAAAAGAATCCTTTAAAACCACCCCCCGGTACGTGTGTCACATGTGTGGAATAGCAAACAACCAAACTACCTACTAGCATCTAGCTTTCGTTCACTTTTTTTTTTTATCGCTCCTAACCTCAATTCCATCCTTGTCCATCCCCACTCCCGCCACATCCAGCAGCAAATCGCTTATGTTTCCACTCATCCCCGCTCAGAGCAACCAATCGTGATACCTCATAGTACAAAGTCCCCCCGCCGCCTCCAAATCCCCGCTATTTTCACCGTCCTAAAAAATAAAAATAAATCCTTTATAACAAATCTATAACAAAATCAACCGTCGTCGTCGTCGTCGCCGTCGTATTAGTCCGCTAGGTCGTCGAAAAAGAGTGGTGGCTGCCAGCAGTGCTGCGCCGTCATCATCTTCTCGATCGTGATCGCCGTCGCCGCCGTCGTCGAATGAAAAAACGGATTAGAAAGCAGCAGCAGCGAAAGCGAAGGCGAAAAGCTGTGTGAAAGTCGAATTGTTGAACACTGACCAAACAGAACAAAAAACAAACAAGCAAAGCCAAACCAGAAGAAAGAAGAAAGTCACAAAAGCAAAGCAAAACCGAGAGACTCGAGAGAGAGAGTGTGTGGACGGTTCGCATATGGTGATGTATCATTCAAGAAAAACAACAAACAAAACAAAACCAAAATCCAAAAAAAAAATCACTCAAATTTTTTGAACGTTTTAGGGGAATTATTTGTTTGAGGTAGAATTTTCTGTTTTAGCGAGGTTAGGTTTTTTTGACCCAGGACGAAAGCAGACGATCAAAGTCGGCTGATTGGCAAAGGGACGACACAAAGGGGACGCGGGGAACAAATTCCGTTTTGGGAGCTTACTTTGATGCGAGTGCGGTGCATACATGAGGGGTCGGGTTTTTTCCCTGTTTGCTTTTGTTTTCGTTTGTAGTTGATAATAAAATCATTTTTGTTTTGCTTTTGTTTCGGTGTTTTTGCGCCCGTTTTGTTTTTTTATTTTATATCACATTTCTGTTAGTCTCGTTTGCGTCTGTTTTTCGTTTTGTTATGTGTGCGTTTCAGCTTGTGTTGAAAGTTATCTTGCGTTTTGTTATTTGAATTTCCAATTGTAAAAAGTCCCTTTTAATGAGTCCTAGAAGCTCGATTTTTTTTTTGATCGTCAAATACTTTGCGACATTTCACATTCAGCTGCAAAGCTGATAATTTTTTCAAAAAACTCTAAACTTTTCTCCAAGATGCAATAATTGAAATCGGCAAATTTGATTCACTAAGCTATTTTTTTATACTGCGTTTATTTTTCCAGGCTCATTTGCTGTAGCTTTGCGGAGCCGATATTCATTTACTATGCTCATTTAAAATGAAGTCGAATGAACTTATGAAGCCATGCCAGGACTGGCACTTGGTTGGTTGGTCACACTTGTTAAGCTGGTCTCTTAAGAGTCACTATTTTCGACTGACAGTCACTATAGTCACTTGTATCGATGAAATGGTCACTTTAGTCACCTTTTTGACGAATGCAAATGTCGAATCGAATTTTGCAACGATTTGCATGCAACATTTTTTGCACTCAAAAGAGTGTCGAAAAGTAGAACTTTTCGGCGCTGGATGCTGAAAAATAGTACTTTTAGATACTGTCATTTTAGTTATGATCACTAAAAAGTCACTTTTTTCACGCAAAAGCCAATAACAGGGCTGGTAGCGAGTCACTTTTTAGTGACTTGGTCACTTTTATCAAGCCTGTCACTATAAAGTCTCCTTTTTTAGGCCAAGTCACTAAAGTCACTTTTCCTTTTTTTTATCTAGTTCGAATATTTGTAAGGCTCAATCGTGTTAGCTTTACGGAGCCGATAATTCATTGTTCTTTGTTTGTAGCAAAATTCACTTAATGCTATGTCTAGTAGGAGTTGGGCCGAATACTCGCGGCTTACCCGAGGTTAAAGGAGTACATTGTCGAAGGATAGAAAAAGGGGAGGAGCTTGGGGACAGGGTTTCGTTGTCTCATCAGAGCGATGTCGCCAGTATGAACGGTTGTGTGGTTCTGGATTCGTCTGGAGCTCGACCGGCTATGGTGACCAGTGGGCGACGATGAGACGGGGGACAAGACAAACAAAAACTAATTAAGAGATACAAAAGACAAACGAATTAAATTCTTATACTAGACATTTGCAGAAACACATGAATCGAAAAGTCACTTTTTCTTGTAATCAGTCACTATTTTAAACTTTTTTTTAACGTGAATGTATTTCAAAAGTGATCATTGTTCTTGCAGTGTGTAGGATAGGCCCACAATTTGTTCTAATTTTTTAACAATTCGAAGTTGACGACCTTGTATAGAGTTTTTTTGACGGTTTCTCTATCTACAGGGTGTCCATTCATTTGGATAAATAAAGTTCCCTGAGTTTTCCAAGTTTTTCCATAACTTTGGCTGATTGTTTCCAGGTTTATGATAAGAAAGCTATTTATGAAATGCGTTATAAATATTTTTTTTTGTAAAACAACAACAACAACAATTAACGCAAACGTTTTTAAACCATGACAATCAGTTTTAAAGAAACAGCTTTACTTCATTTTCATCAGTCTAAGATCACAACATTTTTAATGTTCTTGAAGTATCGTACTGGCAAAAATGTGGAAACTTTTAAGAAGTCCTATTTATCTCAGAAAAACTAGATCTAGAAATCTTTAGGGAATTCCATCGATATTTTTTAATTATAGTCACTTTAACGCTCTTGGGTGATTCGTGACTTGTCCGGGGGTGAGATTTGAACTCGTGACTTTGGCGTGAGAGGTATGGATGCTAACCACTACGCCGGGGTCGCCCCCAATTCCAGAGATCTTAAGCGGAAGTCCCCGAAATTAGAGCCCAACTGATGGATTGGTTTAAAAATCTATAAGCGTTAGCTTAGACAAATTCAGGATAGTTAATTCCATAATGTGCTGAAATAAAATCGAGAACCCTTATGATGTTCCGAGAGATTCAGTACAGAGACCTTCAGATTATTTATGGAAACTTCACAAATATTTCAGGAACATCACAGAAGAAATCCATAGAATTCCAGGGAAGTTTAAAGGTGTTCACGAGAATTAAAGCAGAACCGAGATCTTCATTAGAATTGAGAGCTTTAGGGAAGCTCCGAGAACATCAAGACAGATCATAGAATTAAAGGGTGGTTAAACAAATTTCAAGGAAATTGCAGGTCTTAAAGGTCTTTCAAGAAAATTTCCAGGAATTTCCGGAAATTCGGTTTGCTCAGAGAAAATTTCTGGAACGCAAAAAAAATTATATGAACATCCGAAAAATGTGAGAGTATTTCAAGATCTAAAAAATTTGGAAAATTTAACTAAGTTGATTGGAGAACGAAGTTCCATTAACAGGGCTGGTAGCGAGTCACTTTTTAGTGACTTGGTCACTTTTTTCAAGCCAGTCACTAAAAAGTCTCTTATTTTAAGGTCAAGTCACTAAAGTCACTTTTTCTTGTAATCAGTAACTATTTTCAACTCATCATTCTTTGCTTTGTGACGTTTAATCGTCTTTCTCCATCTACAGGGTGTCTACTAATTTTTCGAAATCAAATTTCTTGAGTTTTCCAGGTTTTTCCAGAACTTTAACGGATAAATTCAAGGTTTATTATAAGAAAGCTTAGCGTTCAAAACAGCGTTGGGAAAATATAAAAAAAATCAAATCTCACCAACGCCCAAGATCACGCTTGATTTTCGTAGACAAAAATCAACAAGCAAACAACTGCGGTTGATTTTGCAAGCTGTGATATTGCAGCTCGGAATATCAAGCTAACAAAACTCACCAACTGCAAATCTCAACAAACTGTGGTGAGATTGAGTTTCATGATTTTTGCTTTACACCCGAATGCAACCGAAACTTCCATAACGGCTTGCAGCAGTCCCTTCGCGTCTGTCATCGGTGAAGATTAAAAGGAGATAGCAAACTATGCTTTCTCTTTCTAAGAAAACGATGTGCAACGGAATCAACTTTGTGTCGATTCAACTCTCAGCTTGATGTTTGCACGTTGTGAATAATCTCGTAATATCAAAGGAGCTTGCAAAATCAATATCAAGCATGATATTTTGTTCCAATATCACGAGTGATATTGCGAGCCCATGAGAGCAGAAAAATATCAATTGATTGATGATTTTGCTTTTTCTGGAAGATCAAAAACAACAGTAATTAACCTAAACGTTTTTAAGACATGGCAATCAGTTTTAAAGAAACAACTTTATAATCAAATTCGTTGAATGTTGAAGTTTAGCACTTACTTAATTTCTCACATTAATAAAGTTAAAAAAAATCTAATTAATTTGAGTAAGTTCAAGATCTAAAAATATTCAATGTCTTGTAGTTTCGAAATATTGAAAATTTTCAAAGCGCCTGAATTAAGGAAAACATTAAATGATTTATTTCAAGCTCGTAATTAACTTTATGAAACGTTAGAGATCTTCATTGCAGTCTCATTGACTTCACAACAATTGTAGGAACTTTGAAGAAGTTCTGATAAATGAAAGGAAATGCTGAGAATTTTAGTAAAGCCCCATAAACAAACTACGGTAACATAAGGGAAGATAACACACTGAACTTATTGGGAGATTACTGGAAGCTTTAAGATCCTCAAATCGGTTCTTTTAACATTCGAAAAATTTTAGGAACTTTTTTGAGGCTCATAGAATTTCAGAGCACATCACATTTGTTAAGCGAACATGAGAAATATAGAAACCTTAGCACCTTCGCACCTAAGCACCTCAGAAAAGCTAGATCTAGAGATCTTTGGGGAATTTCAGATCTTAAGAGCAGATCCCATGTCTTTAGTTCAGACCTTTAGGAGCAGTTTAAATATCTATAATCGTAAATTTTGAAAAAATTGAGAACCCTTAAGATGTTCCGAGAATTTCAGGGATGTACAGAGACCATCAAAGAATTTATGAAACTTTCAGAAATATTTCCGGAACTTCACAGAAGTCCAAAGAATTTCAGGGAAATTAAACTTCAATAGAATTGAGAGCTTTAGGGAAGCT